CTGTGTGTACAGAGTGATGTTCCAAGTTGTAGAAGAGGGTGGAACAGAGGACAGAGTCCAGGGCTGTGAAAGGGTCCCCAGCACTTTCTGGGAGGCCAGAGAAGGCAATAGGCAGGGTAAACTGACCTTTCAGTCCTGCTTGCACAGTACTTCTTGAGAGAGGACAGGCAGAGGAGAGGCAAGGTTACTGGAGGGTAACTCCAAGACAAACAGGGCTTTCTGTCTCCTCCCTGTGCCAGACCTCAAGGAAGGTACACTCGACCTGACTTCTCTTCCTCATCTCTTGTCCAGAGCTTCACCCAGATGAGAGCTGTGTGGAGGCCCAGGATGGAGAGCTGGATGGGCTGTGGACCACCATCTCCATCTTCATCACACTCTTCCTGCTCAGTGTCTGCTACAGTGCCACCATCACCCTCTTCAAGGTCTGGTCCCCAGGATCTCCACCCTGACAAGCCCCCAGCCCTGACCCTCACAGTGGTTACACTGCCAGCAGAGTCTCCATGTACCTGGTAGCAAAAAGACGCTTGGTGTGTGGGGAGAGGGACAAATGAATGTGGCTCTCTCAAGTGTATGGACAGAGGGAGGGATGAGCCTGGGTCTCTGGGCATATAAGCAAGGGAGATATGCCCCTGCCCCTCACGATCACGCTCTCATCCGTAGGTGAAGTGGATTTTCTCCTCCGTGGTGGAGCTGAAGCGCACAATCGTGCCTGACTACAGTAACATGATCAGACAGGCGGCCTAGGGGTTGGTCAGAGGTGAGCACACAGCAGCTGGCATCTCCACATCAGTTCCAGGTGCCTTTGCTGGCACCAGGCCTGGCTCTGCCCTGCCCTGCCCCCTGAACCTGATACCTCTAACCCTTCTCTGTCTTCTGATCATACTGCCTCACCTCTCACCTAGCAGAGAAACTGGTGGCATGAACTTCAGCTGCTAGACACCTGCCTCCATTATCAAACAACCTTAAAACAACACCAGAAATTCCTATTGAGTCAGTGAGCCAGGAGACCTCAGGGTCAGCTGTCTGTCCATTCTAGAAGGCCAGCTCCCTGTGTCCATTTGGAGCAGGGACCTGAGTGCACACTGGACCTCACAGGATGTTAGCGGCACACTGCACCAAGACAAGGACAGGGAACCCTGGCCAAATCCACCCTAGTAACCACTGGAATTCGCTATAATTGCTGTGACTTTGGTCATTTTAATTTTAGGCAGTAAAGTTTGTCTCTGACTCTCAGACAGTGGCTTCTCATCTGATCCCAGACACCCTTACTGCTCTCGGATGGTGATACAAGGAAGAGATGCCCCCAGCCACAGTTCATATGGAGGTCAGGCAAGAAGCCTACCACCAGGCTTCCACCCAACTTCAGCCCCACCTCCACCGAAGAGACTCCGTGAGGAGGCCTGGGCTACCTGTGTGGACCCCACAAAGCTGAGGGGTGCAAGAGTATGGCCTGTTGGTGAGAGAGCACATCATACTCACCACAAAGGGTTTCCGGTCCAAGGAGAAAATGACAAAAGGCTTGCTCAAGGAAGACTTTATGATCAATGCTCCCGATGCCCAGAGAGTGGCACTGGAAGAGGACGGACTTGGCACAGGACAAATAGCATGAACCCAGGGAGGAACTAGACTCTGAGAGTGGTGCCTGCTGAGTATGACCCTGAGGGAGAGACAGACCTCCAGGGCATCCTCGGACCAAGCTGCCTTGCCAGCTTTCTGGGCTCTGTGTCTCCAATGCCCAGCAGAGTAACACCACAGAAGAGACAGCTCGCTAAGTCCATGATCCAAAGTGGGAAGAAAAGACACGAAAGGAAGCAAATCATACCATGCAACAGGTACATTTTTTAGTTTGGGAACTTTTTGCTTTCTTTTTTTTTAAATCTGTCTAAATGTCCTTGGTTTTATTTCATATAAATGTGTTGATCTTGTTTTTACTAAAAATAAAATTGCCTTAAAATATATCATTTCTCATAGTGGTAATCTCTCTATGGTGACACTCTCTGAGTACTACCCCGAAGTGTGATTTGCCATGCTCCGGGTCCCAGAGAGCCCTGTACACCCGAAACCCCAATATTAGCTAAAGATTCTGGGTCATTTCTCCAGTAGACTTCTGCCCCGTGGCTATGGAGGTATCAGATGTATCTGCCAGTCTCTTTATGGCATGAACAACACCAGGGTCTTAAGGAAAACTCAACCTTAGCTGGGATATTGAAGGCTTAGAGTACCAGCATTGTATGGGGTCATACTCAGTCAACTCCTGTGTTCCCAGGTAGGTAGGATAGTGTGCCAGGAACAATGACCACACCAACTGGAATGAATGGAGAGAAGGGGTTCAAGGAGGACAGGTGAGAAACTATGGAGGCCTGGGAAGCAAAGAACTAGTGACTGGAGAGAATACATTTCTGAAATGGTTTGAGGGTACAGCCCCATGCTGTGCTGGGTAATAATAGGCCAGAAACAAGTGTGATGAGAAAACTATGTCCAACATACCCAATGTAAGATAGTGACTCTTCACAAGTAGGTGCTGATAACCTTCAATTCAAGTTGCATGGAGCTTAGAAGAGAAGAGATCAATTTGACAAGAAAATTACATATGTAATCATCAGGA